CACATAAACATATTTTAAATAAGGTATAGTTACCGCATTTTACCAATAACCTGGATAATGATAAAGGTTTGCTTATCAATTCTATACACGACATTAAGCAGGAAGGAATAGGTAATATGATGGATAATAAAAGTTCAGAATAAAAAAGGTTCTGACCAGCTGATATAACAGGCCTATTTTAGTAGGACTAAAAACTTCATAGAGGTAAATATAGGGTCTTAAATCTCAATAAAAAAAAAAAAACTGGACAATGCAGGCTGATACACTGGAGGCAGTATGGTAATGGAAGGGCCTAGCTTCATAAGCCAGAGACACCTGAGTTAAAATCCCACCTCTGCTACATCTAGCCACACAATCTTGGGCAAGTCATTTAATTTCTCTGAGTCTGTTTCCCCACCTATAAGATGGGACATCAACTGTGTATAGTTGTATCACTGTGTGGATTCAACTATAAAATGCATGTATCTGACACAGGAGGTACTCAAAAACATAATGTTTCCAATAAAACGTGTCAGAGACAGAGGGATTTCCACTTAGTTATTCCCTCAATAAACTTCAATATATTATGTACAAGTTCTTGTGCTATATTTCAGCATTTAATGGCAAAAAGCTAAGGTCTTTGCATTTTAGGATCTAAGTTTCGAGGGTTAGACAGACCGGGAATGATAGTATAGCAATCTGTGGATAAAACCAGTGCCGCAGAGTATGGTATAAGTGTTTGTACAGGCTGTTATGGGAGGAGGAAGGAGAGGTATCTAAATTAGACTGAAAAAGCAGGGATTTATATTTTAGCAAAGATCGGTATTTTAGAAAGGGCAGTGCAGCACCACTGAGGGTCAGACATGGCAAGCAGCTCAGAGGTCATGCAGGAATACAGAAAGAAGTGAGAAGAGCCCAGACTAAGGCAGTGGGAGAGAAAATGGAGGAGAAAATGTGTTAAGGGATATCAAGGAAGGAGAATCTGTAGAACTTTGATAAATACCTGGGACGGGATGAGAGGGAAAAGTCCAAGATGACTCCAAGGCTTTGGTTTGAATGACTAAATGGAAGGAGGAGAATGAGTCAGAATGGATGTAGAAAGAACTATAGCTTTGGAGGGAAGCTGATGAGTTTCACTTTGGACTCACTGAGTTTGAGGACTGGTTCTCACGAGAGATCCCAGCTCAGGGCACAGAACAGGGGTCTTTGGCACACTAAGTGGGAATTGAAGTTGGGGGTGAGAAGAGCACAGAGTATAAGGCAGAGCCTTGGAGAAAACTAGCATGGAAGGGACAAAAGGAGGAAAAAAGGATACAATGGATACAGGGGGAAACAGCCAGAGAGACAGCACAAAGCAGGAGTGGTTTTCATAAATGAAGCAATATATCAGCAATATCAGATGTGCTCAGAATTCAAGACAAGGAAGGAAAAAATGTTCAGGAGTTTTGGTAACACGGAGGTGTGAAGACTAGGGAGAGCAATTTTGGAGGAGCTGGGGGTGGAAGCAGGATTTTAGTGAATGACGACTTCAGGAAGTCAAGAAATGTGGCTGGGAAGAGGTGGTGTAATGACAGAAGTTAACAGGAAGGTGTTTTGTGTTTCCCAGAGATTTAAATGAGAAGAGATGGTTAAGCAGGAAAGAAACGGAATAAATGATGGAACCAAGTCCTAAGGAAAAGGAGGAGACGGAATCTCAGCACAAGAAAAAGAATTAGCCTTAAACATATTTCTTTCACAAAATTAGGCAAAGTGATACGGTCAGCTGGAGGTAAGTTTGTAAATGATAGCAGTTGAGGAGCCTTAACTGATGGTTGCAACTTAGTGAAGTCAAAGGCAAGGTTAGGAAGCCGGGAGAGGAATGAAAATCTGAAAGACAAGGAGGAGATGGGCAAGAGAGCTGTCCAAATGCAAATGGGGAGTGCCAAGTAGCACCGGGAGCCCACAGCATGATAATGGACAGGATGTGTCTACAACAAAGACTTGGGGTGGGGTGGGGTGGTGCTCAGGTCACCACAAAAGAAGTACATCCCTGGTCTGTATGGTCAGACTCCCGGAGGAAAAAGATCTTCCTTTACACACCACACTCTCAAAGACAGACTGTCAAACAGGAAAAGTTCAAGGGAGGGTAATCACAACAAAGAAGGTGTGAGAAAACCCCACAGGTGATCATCTGGGGTTGGACTGACAGCGAGTTGTTGGTACTCAGTCTGCCAGGACCATGGGGTTGTATAATGTCTACTGGGTAACAAAGCAGCATCTCATTATTCTCCCTCAAATACACAACCAGGCCTTACACTAGAGATAGGTAGAAGGATCAGGAAATAGAAAAAAGGAGGAGGAAGGCATTTCAGAACTTCACTTCCCATGGGTCAAAGTGGAGAAGAGGCCATTTGGACTTTCAAATAAAATCTCAGAGGAGATCAGGGATAACCAATCAAGGACCGCTAATCAAAGAGCTTTGTTATTACTTACGTCCACACATAGGATCCATCCCCTCCATCCCCCATATTCCGATTCATCTTCCTCCTCTCCCATGTGGTGTTATCCATGGTGGTAACTACCAGTCCAGCAAATCCCTTCCTTTGTCCCTTAAACCCACCCATCTATCTCCCTCCACACAGCCACTGCCTTGGTTCAGGCCTCCCTCCTCTGCCACCTGGACCAAAGCAACAGTGGCCTCACTGGTTTCCCTGCTGGCCCTACCCTGTCCAGTGTAATCACCATGGAACCGTCTGGGTAATTTAAAATAGATGAGAGCATGTCACACCCTTTTTTAAACTTTCACTGCCTCAACTCTCCAACACCATACCTTCAAGAAAGTCCAGACATCTTAGCATGGCAATATTAACAGCTACAGTTTATCATTTACCATCTACCATCATCAAGCAAGTAACATAAAGCATTCAATTCTCACAGCAACCCTGGAAGGTTGGCTTATGTGAGGAAACTGAAGTTTAGAGTGATTGCCTAAGGTCTCAAAACTAGTTCAATGGCAAAGCCAGCATAGGTACACAAGTAACTTATATTCCAAAATCTGTGTTCTTAATTACGTATTATACAATCTCATGTTGCCCACAAAGCCTTTGTGATCTGCCTCCTGCTTACCTTTCCACATTCATATCTTAGCCTGGGTGAACTACCCGCAAGTACGTCTGCTCACACCATTCCCAATGTCTGCAATTCATCCCACCTCCACTCCTCTTCTCCTGACTATTCTTGGTCATCCTTCAGGCCGATGGGCAGTATGTCCTCACAGAAGCCTTCTCTGACGCCTCAGCCTGACTTAACGATCACTCTAAGTCCTCCTCTGGCAAATCTCAATAGCTTCATACCATAGTGCTGTGGTCTATCTCTTCGACTTAAAAAATAACTCCCTGAGGCCAGAGATGTGCATCTTGACTGAGAGCCCTGTACGTAACTCCTTAAAGAATTTCAAAATCATGTCACATGAGGGTTAGGGAGAAGCTGGCCAAGAAAAATGGAAGAGGAAGCAGAGATGTTTTATGCAGCAGAAGCAGCAGGAGCAAAGGGTTACAAGTGAGACACAACCTGTAAACAGTTTAACAAGACCACAGCACAGAATTGAGGGATGGAGAAACAATTAGGCAATATGAACTTTCACAAGACTGGCTTTTTCTTCATTCGCATGTTAGCTCCAAAGTCACCTCCTCAGAGAGTGCATCTCTGACCAGCTAAATTTTACAATAGCTCCCTCCGCTTACCGCCAGTTACTCTCCATCACATTACTGTTTCTTTTTTCTAGTGTCCAACAGGATCTGAAACACCTACCACCCACTAAAAGCACTATATTATTGACAATTGCCACAACTGCCACCACCACGATCAAAAGGTATGCTCCATGAACAGCACCTCTACATCAGCGGTGCTTACAGTGATGCCTTGAACATAACAAAATTCTCAGTTGTTGTGGCATATACTATGGGTAAATAAATTAAATGTGCTCAGCCTGGAGAAGAAATGGTGTGAAGCAGAAGACAAACTAGCAGCTTTCAAAGGTGTGTGGGCAATAAAGTGGAAGGGAGAGCCCAAGGGCCTGAAAGAGGGAAAATGAGCTGAGATTATGGGGTAGCCACTTTCAGCTCAACATATGGCCTAAGTCAAAGCTAGGGAAAGACCAAACAACAATAACCAGAAATAGTGAGTTTTCTGCCACTTAAGAAACTTAACCCGTGGGCAGGGGTGTCACAAAAGAAATCCAAGTATTCAATGGGAAAGGGAACCTGGGACCCAGAGGCCTGAAACTGGCAGTCACAGATATGCCTGGTTCCAGCTGTAGTTAAAAAACATCTTTTTAAAATTGGTTTTGAAAAAACTGTAGTCGTCAGTGTTTAAAAATCAAGAGATTACACGAGTGCAACACACGAGTTTTTTCATTTCTCCAACTTCATACATGTTAGTACTGTGCTCATAAGCTCAATTCAGTAAAAATACGTTTGACTCTTTCTGATATGGAAATACATTTCTTACACCTACATTTACCTTACCTGACTGAATAAGCATTAAACTTTGTAACCCTGGATCAAACTGAAGAGTAGAGAACCTTAGCTCAGAAAGCCCTTACAAAAAACTGACTTCATTTAACGCCCTCGCTTCACAAACGACATCATCCCTCCCATTTTACAGATGAAGGAAGAGAGGCTCAGAGAGAGGTGACATGCCAGAGTCACAGAGCAAATGCAGGCAAAGCCAGGATAAGAACCCTGCCGTCCTATCTCCAGTATTCCAACACCGAAGATTCAGAGGATTCCTGGCCAGACGACAGGAGGGGCTGACATAGGACACTAGGAGCTTTCTAGTCAGAAGACCCCGGACTGAACAATTCCCGGGGATGTGGCTGGAGAAGGAGGGTGAGAGCCGGAGTCAGTGACTCCCCGGAGGAGGGAGGATCCTGAAATCCACCAAGACTTTCGCCCTCACTGCCGAGCTCGCCCCTTCCCACCAGACCTCCAAAACCCAACCCACAGGACCCCCATACTCCCTCACCTGCGCGGCTCACTTACCGCCGATCAACTTCCGGCAACCACAGCGTCGTCCGCAGCGCGCGCCCCGATGACGCAATATGGCCCCGCCCGCCCGCCCTCCTGGGTTAGTGGTGCGCCTGCGCACACGGAGGCGCGGGCCAACCTGGTAAATGAGCCCCTAGCACCGGGCTGAGTGGGAGGAACTTGAGTTGCAGCGAAGGCGGAGCGTCAGGAGGTGGGCGAGGCTCCCTGATGAGAGCTGAGCTAGTTTATTAGCTGTGGGAATGTGTATACGCCAGTCATGCTTTGAAAAAAACTGCTCCACGTTCTCTCTTTCGATTTCAGAGCATGACAGGAATTATGATCATTTCCATTTTCCAGGAGAGGCAGCTTTAAACGTATCCTAGGTGCCATTAAGGAGACAGGTGTGGAGACAGATGAGAATTTTAACAGGTAAAATCTCATGAAGGTCGTCAGTGATTAACCTGTTCTTTCTAAACCAAATATTATTCTCATAGCTCCCTGCTGTCAATGGGATGAAGTTACTCCTTCCAGATTATTTATCACGCATTTCCTATGTGCCAAGCATTTGTCAGATATTGAAGACACAATAGTGAGTATAAACTGCATGTGACGTATAAGGCCATTCAGTTCATAAGGAATGAAAGTGACTCAGATGTAGATCAATAGATTCATAATGATTAGAGTAATTACTATTATCTACTCTGTTTTCAGGGTTTCATATTTTCTAATCACCACAAAGACCCTGAAACATAGATGTCATATTATCCCCATTTTACACATAAAGGAAGAGAGACCAGGAAAAGTTAAGTGATTTGCTGAAGGTTTCAGAGGTTTAGAGTTAGCATTCTTTTTTTTTTAAGATTTTATTTATTTATTTGACAGAGATCACAAGTAGGCAGAAAGGCAGGCCGAGAGAGAGGAGGAAGCAGGCTCCCTGCCAAGAAGAGAGCCTGATGCGGGACTTGATCCTGGGATCCTGAGATCATGACCTGAGCCAAAGGCAGAAACTTAACCCACTGAGCCACCCAAGCGCCCTGGGGACAGCATTCTAATGGAAGCATGTTTGACCTTGCCAAATAAGAAAACAAATCCAGACTTAGTGAGGAGATACTTTATTTGAAAGGAATATTGCAAGGGGGGAGGAAAAGGGAAGAGAAGGAACTATTGTAATAGGGAGACCACTCTGACTAAAAGATCTGCAAGTGGCTAAGGGTTAGGCAAAAAAAGTTTTTTCTTGGGCTCCTGGGTGGCTCAGTTGGTTAAGCGACTGCCTTCAGCTCAGGTCATGATCCCAGAGTCCTAGGATCAAGCCCTGCATTGGGCTCTCTGCTCAATGGGGAGCCCTGCTTCTCCTTCTCCCTCTCCCTCTGCTGCTCTGCCTGCTTGTGCTCTCTTGCTCTGTCAAATAAATAAACTCTTTTTTAGAAAAAGAGATAATTTTTCCTTAAGAGGGAAGAGTGAAGAAGGCTAGAAAGAACTGAGTGTGGGAAAATGGGAGGAAAAGGTGGCTTGATCAGATAGTAGTAGGTCAGAGACTGTTTTACTGTGAGGTCAGTCTGTTCTCTGCAGGGGTTGTATGGTGGCTCAGGTTGAGGGCGCCGGGGTGGCTCAGTGGGTTAAAGCCTCTGCCTTCGGCTCAGGTCATGATCTTAGGGTCCTGGCATCGGGCCCCATATCGGGCTCTCTGCTCAGCGGGGAGCGTCCTTCCTCCTCTCTGCCTGCCTATCTGCCTACTTGTGATCTCTGTCTGTAAATACATAAATAAAACCTTTAAAAAAAAATAAGGGGCTTGGAGGGTATGGGAGAAGCTTAACTAAAGTTGGTTAACAAAGCATTTTGTTTTGATTCATCAGTGGATACAAATAGTTCAGCTAAACATTTAGAAGGCAAAGAAGAGCAGTTCAGAAGGACTGTCTTGCCTTGTCACAGGTAAACAAGGACGATATCCATGAGTCTTAACCTAAGTCATAGAGGATTGGATATTTCTTTGCAGTAAACCCTTTCCGGAGGACAGAAAAGTGGAGGAAGGGTGTTGAAAAACCAATACTTTTTTCAAGAGCTCAGAGATCAGGTAAAGTTCCGTATTGTAAACTCTTTCTTTATAGCAGGTTCCTCTTCTGCCAATGCCCCCTCAGACTGCATGCTTGGGTCACACCAAACTAATTCTGATGTTTTAAGCACACTCTGTTCTTTTATACAAATCTCCATCCCTGCAATACCCTCACACTTCCTCTGCTTGTGTAATCCTCTCTATCTTCAAAACCAAGTTGATGCACCAAAAATAGTACCTAGGAATAAATATAACCAAGGAGGTGAAAGACCTATATTTTGAAAAATATAAGACAATGATGAAAGAAATTGAAGATGACACAAATGGAAAGATGTTTCATGGTCATGGGTTGGAAGAATTAATACCGTTAAAATGTCCATACTTCCCAGAGCAATCTACAGATTCAGTGCAACTTTAGTCAAAACACCAACAGCATTTTTCATAGAATGAGAATTAATACTCCCAAAATTTGTATGGAATTATGAAAAACCCCAAATATCCACAGTGATCTTGGGAAAGAAGAGCAAAGCTGGAGGTATCATAATCTCAGACTTCAAGATATACTCCAATGCTGTAGTAATAAAAACAGTATGGGACTGGCACATACACAAAAAATACATAGATCAATGGAACAGGATAGAAAGCCCAGAAATAAACTCATTCTTACATGGTCAATTAATCTATGACAAAGGAGGCAAGAATATACAATGGGAATAATACAGTCTCTTCAATAAATGCTGCTGGGAAAACTGGACAGACACATGCAAAAGAATGAAATTGGAGCGCTTTCTTACACCAAATACAAAATGGATTAAAAACCTAAATGTGAGACCTGAAACCATAAAACTCCTAAAAGAAAACATAAGCAGTAATCTCTTGGATATTGGCCTTAGCAAAATATGGAAATGTCTCCTCAGGCAAGGGGGGAAAAGGCAAAAATAAACTATTAGGACTACACCAAAATAAAAACTTTTTTCCCAGCAAAATAAACCACCAGCAAAACAAAAAGGCAATATAGTAAATGGGAGAAGATATTTGCAAATCATGTATCTGAGACAGGGTTAATATTCAAAACATAAAAAGAACTTACACAACTCAATGCACACACACACATACACACACAGAATCCAATTAAAAATGGGCAAGGACCGGGGCGCCTGGGTGGCTCAGTGGGTTAAAGCCTCTGCCTTCGGCTCAGGTCATGATCCCAGGGTCCTGGGATCGAGCCCCGCATCAGGCTCTCTGCTCAGCAGGGACCCTGCTTCCTCCTCTCTCTCTGCCTGCCTCTCTGCCTACTTTGTGATCTCTGTCTGTCAAATAAATAAATAAAATCTTAAAAAAAAAATGGGTGAGGACCTGAATAGACCTTACTCCAAAGACATGTAGAAGGCCAACAGATGCATGAAAAGATGTTCAACATCAACTAATCATGAGGGAAATGCAAATCAAAACCATAGTGAGATTTCCTCTCATATTAATCAAAACACCTAGTATCAAAAAAAAAAAAACAAGAAATAACAAGGGTTGGTGAAGATGTTGAAAAAAGGGAACATTTGTGCACTGTTGGTGGGAATATAAATTGGTGCAACTACTGTGGAAAACAGTAGGGCAGTTCCTCAAAAAATTAAAAATAGAAATACCATGTGATCCAGTAATTTAACTATTGGGTATTTATCCAAAGAAAACAAAAACACTAATCTGAAAAGATACATGTACCCCTATATTTATTACATCATTATTTACATTTATTATTTGTAAATATTTACAACATTATTTACAACAGCCAACATATGAAAGCAGCCCAAGTACCCACTGATAGATGAAAGGATAAAGAAGATACAGTGGATTATTTCTAAGCTGTAAAAAAATGAATGAAATCTTGCTATTTGCAACAACATGGAAAGACCTAGGAAAGATCTATTATGCTAAATAAAATAAGTCAGACAGAGAATGACAAATACTATATCATTTCACTTATATATGGATTCTAAAAAAACTAATCAAGTCAACAAACAAAACAGAAACAGATTCATAAATATAGAGACAAACTGGTGGTTGCCAGCAGGGAGGGGGTGGCAGGGTGAAATGGACTAAGAGGTACAAAATTCCAGTTGTAAAATAAGTCTTGGAGATGAAAAGTACAGCACAGGGAATATAGTCAATAATATAATCATGTTGTATGGTGACTTACTGTGGTGAACATTGAATAATGCATAGAACTGTCAAATCAATATATGGTACATCCAAAAGCATGTCAACTATACTTCAATCATAATAATGATGATGATGATGATAAACCCACTATATATATATATATATATATATATATACTGTCAAATCAATATATGGTACACCCAAAAGCATGTCAACTATACTTCAATCATAATAATGATGATGATGATGATAAACCCACTATATATATATATATATATTATGTTTTATATATATATATATATATATATATATAAAATGTAATTACATTTATGCAAAGTTCTAGAATCAGCAAAACTAATCTGTAGTGATTAGAAGTTAGATCAATGGTTGCCTGGGACATAGAGGGGGCATGAGGAACTTTCTGAGTTGATGGAAATGTTCTATATCTTGATTGAGATGGAGATGACATGGGTGTATACATATGTCAAAACTCATTGATCTCTACATTTTAAGTGGGTTCATTTTACTGTATATATTGAATGTAACAAAACTGGTTTTTAAAATACCCAGTAGAATGATACCCACCTACCTCTAGGCTTCCCTCTATTAGGCATATATGAGCCTGCATTTAAGTTAGTTCTTTACAAGCTTGTTTTCTCTGCTGGACTTACAGATCCTTATAATTAACACCTTTTGGGAGTTTCTGCCCAGCTCACAATGTCTCTGCTTCTCTGGGAACTGTTGGTCTTCCAGCCATGTTTGTACCACATCCGCCATCTGGCCCCCACCTTCCTTCAGAGTTTATTGCAGCAGAGGTAGACACAGGATGATTCTTTCCTCTAAGCTTTGGACTTTT